GCGCTTGCTAAGCACTCGCTAAGCACTCGCTAGGCACGGTCGATGCAAATATATCGCACAGATCAACATACCAGAGCGGTGAAAGGGGTTCGAGGCCCAACAAAGCATCTGCTGAGAGACTGTCGCCTGCCAAGCCCTTAGCAAGCTACTAGTAAGGTTTCTTGGGGGGGAGGGGGGGCATAGGGGGGGGGGGAGGAACAACTCCATGATAAACCTGAACCCAGAAACCCCAACATTCCAGAAGCATCAAGCAGCCAGCAGCTAGGACCAAGCCCACAGGGCAAAGCTCACCAAATTAAGCACCAAAACAGGAGGAACTTCACAGAAGCATCTAGCGGCTAGCGACCCTAGCGTCTTAGCTAGGATTTCTGGGTTTGTTGTGCCATACTACACAGGATACAGGAATATCACTGCCAACTCATGGAGCACCCTCCTTTGCAATCCCAAGTCCTAAACCCTAAACCCAATTATATGAGAGCCTGTACTGTCAAAACCCAAACTCCCAACTCATAGAAACTGACGGGAGCTGAGCGCTACGAAGTTCTGGAACGATGATCGGAAGCTTTCGCAGGTAGCACGCAGGTCTCAAGCTTAGAGCTTTCGGGGTTCCCCCGACATTCCGCAAATCCTCGCCCTCGGCTTAAAGCCGGCCCTTCCCCTGACTCCCAGCAGCCTTCAAGCCTACTTGGGGGTTCATGGGTAGTTATAAGTCGGGTTATAAGTAGGGCAACAGTAGTTAGTAGTTATAATCCATATTAGGGGATTTATAACCCTACTTTTCACTACCCATGAACCTCCAAGTACTGATTTCCATGACGAGAAGCACCACCGGCACACGCTCCATGTCCCGGACGAGGTTTCGGAGCTCCACACCTGAATCGCCAAAACCCTCAACCCAGAAACGCAGAGCCTTTGAAGGGTGAAGATGAGCCTTGAACCTATGAGCCCCAAAGGCACCTGAACCCAGGAAGACTGAAAAGTCCCTCTTTCCGAATCCCGACAACCAAAACATGTAAGGTAGAGGCCTTAACAATTAGAATAGCGTTTTGGAGTATATTATACTAGTCATAATAATAAGGACCCCCCTTTTAGTATAGTAAATAGGTAATTATTAAGGCCACTATATTAAAGAATCCGCAAGCCATAAGCGCGGCCTGTCTTGATCAGAGGCTTGTTCGCCTCACTGCAGACACGCAGGCAAAAGATGTTGAGACAGGCAGTTCTATTGGGGTATTGGGTTTGGGGTTTACCGTCCTATTCCTTCCCTACATCCCCGCATCCGCGAAGGCTTAGGGGGGGCCTCGGGTGACAAGTTCAGAGAAGAAAGAGAAGAAGAACCTTCGCTTCTATTCAAAGCAATGGCTGGCTGAGCCCTGACAAGATGCATCAATCGACGGTGTTGCAACCGAGAGGACGGCCATGACGACGCGGATCAGAAAAAGGATCATGAGGGTTGAGAAGGAACTGATCAAGATGAAAATGAAGACGAAGATGAGAATTAAGGCGAAGGTGGAGATGACGAAGATGAAGATGACGACGATAAGGACACCGAAATCTCAAGGCAAAAGACTTCTGGTACACTCTTCTGCAATTACAAGGTACCGTGCAGTAGACTGAACCTCGGAACAAGGTGCCTTGTCGACGGCATGTCGGCTCATGACAACGACCTCCTCCACGAGGGACAGGAAGTTCACCTTCCCGGTCCGGCTACTCAGCTACACTACCTCGGATCCTATCACAGACCTCAAACCCTAGAAAACCCTAAGTGATGAACTGCTACGCTACGCTCATGCGGCCGACGCTGCAACCTAACCAACATGCAATTTCCGAAGCAAGTAATAAACACATTTTCTGGCTTAATGTTTTATGTGTTGCGGTACAAAGGATTCCACACTTCGCCGGGGATTGCCTACTCAGCCCATATCCCGTTCACACGCCCGAATAAAACCCGCCAACACCCAAGGAAATCCTACCGGCCCTAGAAACATCCGCACCTTACGATCCTACAGCCAAGACACATCTTACACATCTCAACACAGCCGAGGGCATTCATAGCCAGATCTGGGTTGCGGGGTGTGCTGTTTAGTACATGGGGGCAATAGCAGGGGGCAGTAATCCCATACTCTGCGTCTTTAAAGCTTGGTGGAAAAGGTAGAACCAGCATTTAAAATCAGATAAAATGTGGTAGACCCTTTATCAAACCCATCAACTACATACCATACCTACCTCTCCCAGCACCCTAAACCCTAAACCCTAAATGGCCTTCTGCCGCATCACCGCCAGGGTCTCTGCGCTCTTCTTGCGCTTATCAGACTCCGCGAGGTCCATGATGTTCGTGACCAGGTCCTCCGGTTTAGGTTTAGGGGTTTAGGGGTTAAGGGTTTGGGGGTTTAGGGCTTAGGGGGTTTGGGACTGTGGGCTATTGAAACCCTAAACCCTTGCCTGTGACCCTAAACCCTTCTGAAGTTTATAAGCTTTGGGACCTTCGGGACTTCCCGGCTTTGGGGCTGTTAAAGCTTAGGGTTTAGGTTCGGCTTTAGGACTCTGCGGCGAAGATTTCTTGGGATTCGCGTTTGTGCGAATATAGGGGCCTTAATAATTAGAATAGGGTTGGGGGTATATTATACTATAACTAAAATTAGGAGCCCCCAAAACCCTGTTCTAATTATTAAGGCCCCCATATTAGGGCTCTGGTGCTTGATGGCTTCGGTCGTATCGGGTTGGGGGAGGGGTTGTAGCTTCGAAGGGCTTGCCTTCATAAGCTTTTGCGGGAGTCTGGTAGGTCGTTCAGGGTTTAGAGGCTAGTAACTGTTTAATAATACTCACTAAACCCTAAGCCCGAAACCGTTCTGCTGGGCTTCCTCAAGGAAACATCTGCTGAACTCGACTACTTCTGTGGGGGAGCTCCTCTGAGGGTCCTTATTTTGAGAATGCCACAGCATGCCATCCTCTTTGGGCATCCACGAAGGGATGGTGATCAAGGGAACTGCTCATAATTGAGGTGCCACCGTTCAGCGGAGAATCTTTAAGAAGAAAAGATTCCCATCTAGAGGCTTGGGCCTGTTCCTGCAGCCGAAAACTCATTTTTCTCTGACGAGAAGGGACGGAAGCGGTTCGACTCCAGAACGGCTCAGAAAGGGAATACCACGGACCACAACGACAACGACAAAAACGAACATAAACAATGCAACTGATGGAACTGCCGAAAACGAAGCTGGCCATGACATGCACGACACCACATCAAACACATGCGACGAACAAAAAACGAGAAGCTGGAAACTGTAGCAACGTCAGTACCGTCCTCGTCGTCAACATCATCAAAACTCATCATCATCATCAGCATCATCATCATCAAGGCAGCATCCATGATAGCATTGACAGCATCCGAAAAAAGTCATGACAATAATCATGTGGTTGTCGCCATAGCTGTTTTATCCTAAACTCCTAAACCCAGAGCCCTAAACCGACCACAAGTGCCGAGCTCTGAAAGCCTCAACCCTAAACCTCAAACCCTGAACGGCACCTTAAAACCCAAACCTGAAACCTTAAGCACTGAACCCTACCTAAACCCTAAACCTTTACGAAACTCGCCACACCTTAAATCCCAAACCCTAACACTAAACCCTATAATGTAATACCCGAACCCTAGCCTAAACCCTGAACCCGCTGTCCAGCAGTCGCACGGCGCAACTCCGGACCATGCCGAGCCTCACTTTTAGGTCAGGCTCGGGTTTAGGGTTTAGGGTTTAGGGTTTAAGGTTTAGGGTTTAGGGTTTAGGGTACAGGGTTCAGGGTTTGCGGTTTGGGGTTTAGCGGTCGATGTAAGCTGTAAAACCTACTGTGCGGTGCTCCTCTTGATGTGGACAGAACCTCTCCCAACCCCGCCCAACCCCGTAGCCCACCCTAAACCTTCAACTCTGAAGCTATAACAGCCGTGCTCTTGTGGCCTTCGGGCTCCTTCAGAAAGATCAGGGTCTAGGGTCTAGGGTTTAGGGTTTAGGGTTTGCTTCCGGTTTCCGATTACGGATATTATATGGCTCGGCCTTTTTGAGTTCAAAACCCTCAGCCTCAACTCTAAACCCGAAACCCTCAACAAGAAACCTCAAACCCCAAGCCCGAAACCCGCGAAAGCCCTAAACTCCAAACCTTTAAACCTTACACCCTTAACGCCTGGAAACCCTAAACCGAAAGCTCTGCAACCTCTGAATCTCGCCACGGGGCTGCCTTTTCAGACCCTCGGTCTTCACGACGTCGATCCTTTGTGGGGGGTTAGGGTTTAGGGTCTAGGGTTTAGGGTTTAGGGTTTAGGGTCTAGGGTCTATCCTTTCCGGAGTTTTTTAACTACAACTTTAGAGGTTTAGGTGTTGCCGCCGCCGTTCGACATCCACCTGCTCAGGGTTCCCCATCATTATAGTATCAAAACAGAATTTTTGTAGGGATGATAGGGGTGCCGATAAACTCGGAGACGGACAGCTCCCGGGCCCGCATCACCGAGAGACGTTCAAGTTGAGTTGCCGAACAAACAAGCACCGTGCAGCCCCAGGGATTTTGGGTTGATCCTGTAGGTTGTTCATCCTCGTCTTCATCCCTTCTTCATCTTCACCACCCCCTCGTCCCGACCACATCAGTATCATCATCATCATCCCTAAATCCGATAGCCTCACTCTTCTGGCAGATGCTAGATGCTTTCGCCAAGCAGCATGCCGGTGGAGAGTCCAATCCTCAGTGCCAGCGCCCAAAATGCTTGTAGAGCTTTTAGGGGCGGCTGCGTTAGGGACTTGTTTGTGGGTTTAGGGTTTGGCTTAGTTTAGGGTTTAGGGTTTAGGGGGTTTAGGGTTTTAGGGCTCCGGGGGAGATGATCAACAGGCTTGCGGTCAGGCACTTGATGTCGCATCTCTACATCATCAGGTTGCAAGGGGTGAATGTATGTCTCGGGTGCGTGCGCGAACTCCCGGTGCAAGAGCTATGGTCAGGTGAAGCTTGAGACTATCTGGTCGGGTGTTGCTGGACACCCTTGTGACATCCTCAATCTTCCGGCTTAGTGTTTAGTGTAGGTTGGAGTTTGGGGCTTGCGGTCTCGGCTTCCCTCAATTGCGAGACAGGCATGGGGGAAATGCAGCAAGCGATATTCCGAAGCCCTAGAACCCTGCGGCCCCGATGGCTGTGCAGGGTTTAGGGTTTAGGGTCTAGGCGGTGGCTGAAACAGTTTCAGGCAGACGTTGTGGCATGGTTCGCTCTTGTTAGATGAAGGAACCTTCAGGAAGATTGAACAGCTTAGGCCCCTACCATTACAACGGCTGAGGGGTTTCAATCCCGAGATGAAACACTGAAGCCCCAAGCCCTAAACCCCAAATGACTTCAGCCTAAACCCTATAAACTATAAAAGCCACATCCCTAAACCCTAAACCCTAAACCCCAAATCCCTAAATCCTAAATCCTAATCCCTGAGCGCTGAAGCTCCCAAAACCCCAAGCCCAGGTTCATGCCGTGGAGGGTACTCTACTTAAAGGATCATGGGACTTAGTAAGTAGGGTTATAATTAGGTTAACTATACTTATAACCCCAATTAAGGGACTCCCAAAACCTCAAGCCCAGGTTCATGCCGTGGAGAGGACTGCGCAGCTCATGGGAGACCACCTTAGCCAATCTTAGGGTTTAGGGTTTAGGGTTTAGGGTTCATGGGTAGTTATAAATAGGGTTATAAGTCCCTTAATCTGGGTTATGACTATAGTTACCCTTATTATAACCCCACTTATAACTACCCATGAACCTCCAAGTAGGTCTGGATGCAGCCGATGGAAGGAGGAGAACCAGAAATAAACCCCGAAACCCTTACTGCAACCTTAACCCTGAAACCCCGAAACCCCTGCACCGTCTACCCGAACCCAAGACAGGCAAAGTTCTTGCAGGTTCATCCCGGCCCTCGAATGTTCCGTAAAATATCGGGGTTCCTCCAAAGTCAGAGCCGAGACGAAACGGGTCTGCAAGGGGTGCTACGCGGGTTTTAGGAGTGTTTTACAGCGCGGTATGATGGATTGTCTGCTGGCTTTGAAAGGCCTTACTAACCGCTCAGAGATCTTCTAGGGGTGTACAGGCTAAAGCTTCGGATCCCAGGAGCACGGCTACGTCTACCTGATATCACATGCCACGAGTACCACTACTACTCTCTGACACATCTGCCTTGTGAGCGTTTTTCTACAGAAGCCGGCGTCCTACACGTACAGTAGCGTGACCAGCAAACAAACCCAAACCCGGTTGTTTGGAGTGTAGGCCTTGCGGCACCCGTACACAAGAGTACAACGGTTACGCTGGTTACACGAGGAAAGCGTCAGGAAGATAGACTGGAACAGTACAGTGCGGCCACAGCACGGCCATTAGTCTGCTCTTCTTCTCCTGGCTCTGACTGAGAAAAGCACACAGTGCCGAAAACCACTGTGAATGCACAAGCCAGCAACACTCGTCGTATTTGTTGTGGTTGTGGCCATGCTAGCAGCAGCAGCAGCAGCAGTAGTCGTCGTCGTGGTGGTGGTGGTCATAGTAGTAGTAGTAGTAGTAGTAGTAGTAGTAGTAGTAGTAATAGTAGTAGTAGTAGTAGTAGTAGTAGTACTCGTAGTACTAGTAGGACTAGTAACAACAGCAGTAGCAGCAATAACGGCAGCAGGGGCAATAGCAACAGTAGCAGCAGCAGCAGCAGCAGCAGCAGCAGCAGCAGCAGCAGCAGCGGCAGTAGTAGCAACGGCAGTAGCAAGAGCAACAGTAGCAGCAGCAGCAGCAGCAGTACAAGTACAAGTAGCAGCAGTCGTAGCACTATGGAGTTTAGTACTAAAGGCAGTAGCAGCGGCAGTAATAGCACTAGCAATAGCAGCACCGTAGCACTGCTGCTGCTACTACTCCTCTTCCTGCTCCTCCTCCTCCCTTCTCCTCCTCCTGCTACTGCCTTATTACCACCACTGCGTCTGGGACTATTCAGTTCCTCATGATCTGACAGCAGCACCGCCGTCCTCCACGCTTTTGAGCTCCGAGAGTTCCGTCAGGTCCTGTCCGAGAGCCCTACTTTTCGATTCCCCCAAACGCCTGAAATCGAACCTTAAACTGAAGCCCTTACCCCTAAAACACGATTCGGGTTTTCGGGTTTAGGGTTTAGGGTTTTTGGGGTTTTGGGATTTAGGGTTTAGGGGTTTAGGGGTTAGGGTTTAGAGTTTAGGGCACTTAGCATCCAACCAGATAAAACCTAAACCCGGCAGGCCCGAAAGCCCTCATCCAAAGCTAAAGGCCACGACACCCTTTGGCCTTGAAACTCAGTTAACTACGGTTGATGATATAAATCCTGCACTACGCATAATAAGGAACATACCGTAATTCCCATAGTTTAGGGTCCTTAAAGTAATGCAGGATTTATATCAACAGTAGTAGCCAGAATCAGCAGTGATAACAAGACGGAGAGAACCATGGCAAGCGGAGGAGAATTCATCAACAGCGGTACCATCAACGACAAACGACGGAGATGGCAACATTGGCAGGAGCAACATTGCTATCTCTATCGACACTGCTGAAAACAGCAATGGCAACAAACAGCAACAAACAACAACAAATCATCATAGCAGCAACCTCGGTCAGAACATACCAAAAGCCTGACACAACCATTGACAGCAAAACTCAATCCATCGTAATGAGTACCATCGTACTCCTTGCCACAGTAGCTGAACTGTCTCAAAGGAGCCCACGAAGGCTTCGCCTACGCCATAAACCACGTTGACGAGTTCAGGATGACGCACCAAACAAAGTTCAGCAGCCGCATGGATCAAGCCCGCCTGGCCAATGGCCACTATCGACTGGGGCACACCATCCTCGAAGCAGGAGTCACTGAACCCTCCCTCTCGCGACGAAGGGCCAATAATGTAAGTGGTCGTCGTCCCAGCAGTACTGCAACTGGTACTGTTTCCACTGCCCCAGCTACTAACTCGAAAGTAGAGAACTCACTAACTCACTGACTAACTACGTAACAAACGAGCGAACTAACGAACGACCTTTCGAACGAACGGACCAACTAACTTCACTAACCAGCTAACTAGCCAACTAGCTAGCTAGCTAGCTGGCTGGCTGGCTGGCTGGCTGGCTAGCTAGCTACCTAGCTAGCTAGCTAAGAAACAACAAGCAAACTAACTAAATAAATAACTAACTAACCAGCTACCGCACTCGCCATCTAAGTAACGGCCGAGGGAACCAACGAACAAACTCACCGACGAACGAACGGACCAACTAAATTATCTAACTGTGTCACTACCTAACTAAATAACTAGCCAACTGATTAACTGACCAACCAACTAACTAAATAAATGAATAATTAACTGACTCACGAACTGAACTAGACTAAAGCAAACCAAAGTAAACTAACTACTGCGACGAAGACGACTAGGACAAGGACGACGAGGAAAACGACTGCGACGACTAAAATGCCGAATTACTAAACGGACTAGTTACTCACGACGACGACGGCGACGACGACTAAGACCCCTACTAACAACTATTACTCTTACTACTCAATAGTGCTGCTGCTGCTGCTGCTGCTGCTGCTGCTGCTACTGCTACTGCTACTGCTACTCCTTCCCGCGCGTCTTTGGCTGCTTCTGTGTCTACGCTCTGCTGGCGCTACTCCGTCTGCAACCACGACATGTCCTTTCTTGCACTCTGCGATCTCCTTGTTGATAGTGAAACACGGACATCTTACAACACTGTTCCTGCTGCCCACGAAACCGCCGACCGGCCGGTGGCCAGGGTTTCGTGCATGTCTGTGGGCGTATGTCTGTGTGCATGTTTGTGCTGGCACATATGTGTGTGCGAGGGTGTGTGTGTGTGTGTGTGTG